TATATCATTTTCTCTGATTTTTTTATTTTTTACATATTTTTAGTTATTTCACACCTAGTACTGTTTTTTTATTACAGATATTGTTTTACTGTTTTTGTTCCCAGCTTTTTGTAGTATAATGTAATAGAATGTTTTACGCCTTTATTTGGTGAACCGATCCGGAAATGTGGTGCTAGAGTGCTCCTTGCCTTTCATATTTTTATGGAAGTAAGAGAATCACTAGTGTTTCTTTCTGACGGTTCGGAGCCTGCCTGTAAAGGTCGATGTAGCCTGGAAGTGGCTTTTTATGCCGGCTGTTGCTGCTGTTCTTCTCATTGTACCTCTAAGTCTCAAACAAGTCCCTTTCTGCCAAAGTGATTGAATACTCACTGTTGAAAAGCAGTACTGAATGTGAAGTTTCTGAGTTAGAGAAGATCTGTTAAAATGTGTTTTCCGCAGGGTTACGCACCGCCCAAGATTTGATGTCCGACACGTCTGCCTTCCCAAATTCGTAGTTCAGGCCATTTTTGATGAAATTTAGCAGTTTTTGGTTTGGTTAGGTTTCACAGGTCTTTTCCTTCCGGATGCACATTGTAACCCATAATTCCTTCTAGTAGTTAGGTCAGTATAACACGAGTAGAAGAATACGGAGGAGAAAATGTCTTTGGTTTTTGAAAAAAAAAAATGTTTTGTTTAGATGTCATTTTGACCAAGTTGAGAGTTATGGGCTGAAAAGGGATGTGGGGCTAGAAATAACACGCTGTCTTTAGGATAATCATGCGTATTTTGCACTGCTGAAGCAAACTTTAGCTGCTTTTGAAAGCCGAGGAGGCCGACCATCAAAAAGGCAATAATTTCTAGTTTTTAAAGATTTGTTAAGGATGTCATACTTTACTTTAAAGTTTTCTCAAATTATTATTATTATTTTTTTGCTGGATTTTATCGAGTATTTTTTATTACTCTCTTCATGATGTGGTCAACTAACAGAGTGAAAAGAACGCATTCAATCTGTAACAGCCAGTTTCTGATTCTGGCCTTCCTGCTAAAAAGGTGCTGCTCAAATCATTTAGATGCAGAGTGCTGGTTTTTTCTAAAGTTTCTAAGGTCTAGTCGGTTTGAAGGGTTTAGAGCTTGGAGTGTTAGAGAAAGAACGTTCAATTGAGCTTATTTTTACTTTTACAGTCAAAACTTCGACGAATGGGCTAGTTGTATGCTTCGGAGCGCTTGAAAGTCTTTCTTCGCTGAACTCACAAACGCCGAAACGGAGACTCACGTTTTCTAGACATTCTTTGCACACAAAGCTCATTGTTTTTGGAAATTTTTTTTCTTATGAAACGTTACTGGTGCTTCTATTCTTTGTAAGCTAATTGCATTTCTTTGGCTCTGTCCGCTGACTACGGCACATAATAAGCAGATGACACCTAGGCAATGGATACTCGGTAAAGTCCAGTAAAAGAAATTAATTCGCGAGTTTTCTCAAATAAATTATAACTTTCTTGAAAAAACTTTAATACTAGATTGTACTGGCTTTGATAACCGAACTTCTTGGCTTTCAGGAGCAGCTTAAGACTGCATTGGCAGTGCATAATGCGTGGGATCATTGTAACGACAGCGGGTTATTTCTAGTCTTGCATTTCTTTCTTGATTTAATTGTCAAACGGAATTATGAGTCGTAATGTGCATTCAAAAGTAGGAGTCATGTGGTATTTTTTTAAATTTATAAATTTTAAATTCTGTTAAAATGGAGTTACTCTACAGTATCTGAAAGATGGACGTGTTGAGCACCAACATGGCAATCTTTGCAACTTTGAGAGAGCGTTATTAGACGGTGAATTTGGTTTTTCGGTCTTTTTTTTTTAATCGGGATCCGGAATCTACAATGAGCAGCGTTCAATAAAATGCTGAGATATTAAGTGAAGGTGCGTAGAATGACACGGAGGCCCATGCATTAAGTTAATTTTGAGATCTAGTATTCTTAATTTGCTTTTACTTCGAGAACATTTAATGATTTATACGAGTGTCAGATTAAGAAACTAGAATCAATCGCTGGTTTTTTAGATACTTCGGCATCTTCGTAATGGTGACATGATGCTGATGAATCGTCAGCCGTCATTGCATAAACCATCAATTATGGGACATCGAGCAAGGATAATAAAGAACCAGCGAGCCATGAGGTTAAATTATGCTCCTTGCAAAGCGTACAATGCAGATTTTGATGGCGATGAGATGAATGGACATTTTTTGCAAGACTTTGTAGCTCAAACAGAGGCAGCAAATATTAGTACGACAATTACATTACTTGTTAAAATTGTTTTTCTGGTAGCGAAAGTTGAAAATATTTCTTTTTTTGAAATATACCATTAGAGCCGTGTTCTTAGTAGAAAAGTTATTTTGTACAGAAGTTTGTTCATTTGAAATTTTAAATAAAAAGGGAATAGAGGAGTAAAGAGGGGGGGGGGAAGAAGGGGTATTTTAGGGTGAAGACAGAGTTTCCACTGTAGACTCTTCGTGTCATAAGTATTCGACGCATCAAAGTAGAGCACACAACTAGATAGTTCTTCATATAAAGCAGCCCTCAGTGAGCAGTATACCTCAGTGGACTACAAGTAGCGGAAATCAGGAGATGTTATCTTTTATAATGGGTCATGACACCGTAGAGATTAATTAAGTCTTAGAGGGGAAGCTGGTGGGTTTGGAGGTGTTTAGAACACTAACAGCTTGGTTCTGAATAGAAGTAAGCTTTAGTCGGCAAACTAATGAAAGTGAGAAGTGATGATGTAGCTAGATTTTTTTTTGCACAATGCTAAAAAAGCTTTAGCTATACTTTTTTGGTTGTCAGTTTAAGTTTGAGGTCAGTAGTTGGAAGCTGAGTCTGTATGGGGAAGTTGTACTGTATACTTTGATGATTGTTTCTTAGCCGGCCGACTTGCACCTGTATTACCTTGAAACCAGTCGTTTAACATATAATGTTACCTATAATATTCAGTGAACGTTGGTTCAAACTTCTTGGTTCCTAAGGATGGAACCCCATTACTTGGTCTCATTCAAGACCACGTCGTTTCTGGTGTCAAATTGACAATCCGTGGGCGCTTTTTTAATAGGGAGGACTTTATGTACCTGGTGCTTTCTGCATTCGCGGAGACACGACAGAGATTCCGTTTGCCTACTCCTGCAATTATCAAACCAAAACTGTTGTGGAGCGGGAAACAGGTAATTTGCGAGTTAGCGGGGACAATCACTGTTAATTTCATGGATTTTCTTATTTTTCACTTCTGGATAAGAATTGGTAAGAGAGATATTTCTTTAAAACACCTGTTATTCATCGTGCAAACAACTTTCAGATAATCAGTACAGTTCTTATGAATTGTATTCCTGAAGGGAAGCAACTAATAAACTTGACAAGCAAGGCAAAGACGCCACTGTCTTGTTGGAAAGCACGTGGTGGAGAAATGCCAGGATTTAATATGAGCGAGTCTGAAGTTGTTTTTAGGTTCATTATTTATCTGTTACCAAGTGGAGTTTTGAGTCATAAGCCATCTGCATGTTTTTAATCTTTAGCGAACAAAATCTGTAAATTCCAAAGTCTAGCATGTTCAGAATATTTCTTAGGTGTAATCTTTTTTGGAGTGACTGCTGTTTAGAATGTCTTTATATTTTAAGGAATGCTGAATTATTGGTTGGAGTACTTGATAAACAGCATTATGGTAGCACGCAGTATGGTTTGGTTCATTGCTGCTGGGATCTTTATGGTGGCAAATGCGCTACTCGCATATTAAGTTGCTTTTCACGTCTGTTCACGACCTTCTTGCAGGTAAATTTCTCTACTTGCTTTCTTTTTGTTTCTAATTTTTCCTTTAGCTCTTGTTTTTGAAATATGTTGCTTCAGTTAAAGCCTAATCTCGCCGTAGGTTAATGTTATCTCATTAAAAATTTTATTAGGCATTCCTAAATATTTGGTGTATTCTCTTGCACCTTGGCATCAGTTGTTACAAAATATTTCAGATTGAAGGTTTTACACTTGGGGTTGCGGATATCCTTGTGAGAAAAGAAGAAGATAAAATTAGGACCGGAATCATTCGGAGATTGCGTCGCTGCGGTTTGTTGCCTCCATCTTCGTTTAATAGACGTTCTGAATCAAAGGAAATGTTTTTACTCATTTAAATTCCGTTCACCGTTGACTTTAAGCACCTTATTTAAAACGGAAGGAAACTTAAGCTGGAGAGAGACGATAAAACATTCATGAATGGAGGCAAGGGAAAAAAAAAAAAAAGAAGATTAAAAAATATGACTTGGGTTTGCCATCCTTCACTGAGCAGTTTTTATATTTTAGAAGTCTGGTAGAATTTATGCACTTCTTTAGGAGACAAAGTGGCCAGAGAATGTTTCAAATTGCCTGCTGACACGAATCAACAAAGTATAAAAATGGTGGTTGCTAATGCTTACTGTAATCCGCAGCACAACTGCCAGAGTGTGCAACTCTTGGATTTCAAAATGAAAGAACTACTGAACACATTTGGCGAACAGATAACGAAGTGCTGTTTTTCTTTTCGACCGAGTTTTACTTGTTTCTGTGTTTTCTTTAAACAAAACTTAGTGACTGGTTTTGCCTCGATATTACCGACTTTTTAGGACTTGTGTTCCTTCAGGATTGGTTCGACAGTTTCCCGAAAACGCTTTACAAACAATGATTTTGTGTGGCTCTAAAGGAACGATGGTGAACTCTGTGCAGGTGGCTGTCTTAATAAAGAAATTTTTTTATTAATGCATTTGCGGTATTTTTATTGCTATACAGTTAGTAATATTTTTCTTCCGCTTTACAGATCAGTTGTGGATTGGGACAAATTGAGTTAGAAGGGCATAGACCACCAGTTACAGCAGCCGGAAGAACACTTCCGTCTTTTTTTGCTTTCGAAACCTCGCCAAGAGCTGGCGGCTTCGTGGACCAACGTTTTTTGACAGGGATTAGTCCTCAAGAACTATTTTTTCACACAATGGCTGGAAGAGAAGTACTTATCTGTTTATGTGTTGAAACTGTAATTTTTGTTTGATTAACAGAAGCAACTTAATTTTCAATTATTCTTTCTGAATTTAGGGTTTAATAGATACTGCTGTGAAGACTTCTAGATCAGGGTATCTGCAACGGTGTATTGTAAAACATTTAGAGGGATTGGTTGTCAATTATGATTCAACGGTCAGAGATCACGACAACAGCGTCATTCAGGTGAGCCTGCTTTTTGAGACTGAAACGTACTTTCATGTTTCTTATGCTTCACCCAAATATTTAAAATGTAGTAATTTTCGCACTTATAATTAAAGACTGTTGGTATTGTAGCTAGAGCTGTAAGAGAATCTAGCTTTTTTAACCCTCAACTCATCTTCATTGTTGCAATAACAACTAGGAGTCTGGCTTGATGTCCACAAAATTTATTGTTGATAGAATGTTTATTTGAGTTTCGTTATGGAGAGGACGGAATGGATGTTTGTAAATGCACATTTTTAAACTCGAAACAGTTAAAATTTCTGAGCCAGAATATGGATGCAGTACGTAGCAGTGTGATTCCTTCATTTGTTTCGGAGCCACTATGGGATTCAAAGAAGAGCGAAAAGATTTACAGAAAGGTATAATTTAATTAGTAACGATTTTGGAGGACGATTTTTCAGTAGCAGTATCATCCTAAGTATATGAGAATTAGAAAATAATTGGAGAAATAGAGCATTGGGTTATTTCTTTTTGAACAAGAAGCTTTACTAACGGTTATAGCTGCATTTAGATTAGAAGATGGCGAAAAAAAAGTCTGTTAGTTCCTAAAAAATGTTATAATAGCGGATTCGTAGAATTTTCGAAGAAGTATACTGGAACACCCAAACAGGAAATTACGGCGATGTGGTTTGGCCTCTCCGAAGATGAACGGAATAAATATGAACGTTTTGCTGGTGCAGCATGTCCTAGAATGATTGACGAGGTTTGTTTGCATTAGTATGCGTTGTTTTGAGTATATGTTTGATTATTCAAAGATAATTTATAATTTTGTTTCATTAAAGTGTTATAACGTTCACATTTCAAACGCTTGGTGCTCTGGTCGTCTTATTTGTTTCCGAAGTTATTTTTCAAAGTCTTTTTTAGAAGCTTGATCCTAACCGCTCCTTAGGAGCGTTACCGGAGAAGATGCTAGACGATTTGGATGAGTTTATTAAAAACGAATTGCGAGAGAATCCGAACTTTCCTTCCACTGATTTTCGAAGAATTGTGTATTGGAAAGGTAATTTTTTTAGGTTTTTGAGGAAGATATATTTTGAACTTCTTTGACCTGCTGATTTAAATTGTTCTAATTTCTAGCTCTTATTTTAATGCTGCTTTGTTCAATGATTTTTTAGATTTCTTAAAAGATTTTGCACCACATTTTACTTGTAAGCCTCTAATCTTTGAATAACACCCAGTTTTTTCCTGCTTTAATTGAATATTCAAGGTCTGAGGTCGAATGCTGATCCTGGAGAAAATGTTGGCTTATTAGCGGCACAGTCAGTTGGGGAGCCGTCAACGCAAATGACTTTGAATACCTTTCATTTTGCTGGTAGAGGTGAAATGAATGTCACTTTGGGTATTCCAAGGCTGCGTGAAATTTTGATGACATCGGGTAGCAAGATTGGGACTCCCAACGCCGAGGTTTACTTGATTTAATGGCTGAGTATTCATTTGTAAGAGATGACGAGTCATAATCGAAGTAGGCAGGTGGATTTTTGTTGTGTTTTGTTTAGATATGCGTAAAACCTGACGTTCCCCAGGCAGAAGTTGATAAAATTAAACGAGAGCTGGGTAGAGTTTATTTGAAGCAAGTGATTAGAAGAATAACTGTGGAGGAGCGGCTAGATTTGAGGCAAAGGTATAACAGTATTGGTGATGGATGTAAAGAAGCATTACGTGTTTTATTTTGCTCATTTTAACGTTCAGTTCTTCTCGAAACTATGATCTTCGGATTGAAGTCGTTTCCTCAAAAGCTCGACCCTCACATTTGAAACATATCAAAAGCCGTTATATATTGATGGAAATAGAAAGTCGCTTTGTGAAGTCTCTTGCAAGACTGATGCGGGATAGGTCGAGGGAATTACAAACTTATGAAGGGATTCAGTCCAAGTCTGTTACTTAAGAAGTTTCTTGAATTGGTTTGATGAAAGAACTATGAAATCAGGTTTTTTCTTGTAGGAGGCTGAAGGCAGTAGATGACGCAACTGTTGCTGACAAAGACGAGAACGACTTGGGTCGAGACAAAGAAACTCAGGTCACCTAATTATGTAGATTTTTCTTTGATCTTTAGCAGTCAGTCTTCTAGTGGATTTAGTCGTTATTGATTGAGTTTATTTGTTATAGTAAGCTGCAAGTATGCTTTTCTTTTCACTCTCAGTGGCTAATAAGGACTTATCACGTGTGTTATCGTTCTAGCATTTTTGACAACCGTTTTTTCTAAGTAATGATGTTTTAGAATTATTTCTTAACATCTAAGACTTCGTAGAAACATCAAAAATTGGGTTAAGGATCATTAACGGATTGGAGTAAATGAAAAAAACACTCTAAAGCTTCATGGCGTCGTGGAAAACCAATTGTTTAGTTATGCTGACCATTTTTGAACTTGTTGACATCATGTTTAATTAATTTTCTTCATCTTTGGTTAAATTTGAGGGTGTGAAATTATTGAATTTTTAAATTTTATGTACGTTTATCAAAAAACTACGATAATCGTTGCGGTTTATGCATAGTTTTAGGTTCATTAAAACGGCAAGTTTTCAATAAATTGGATGAGTGTGACTTGTGGTCTCTTTCTGCTATTTATTGAATAGTGATCTGAGGTTCTTTGGTAGCGAAGCAGGGGTTTTTTTACTGACTGATGCTAGTCGTTCTCGTTTATTTTGGAACGCAAGACCTTGTACAGGTCAGGACAAGTTTTAGTTTTGAAATGCTCGAAACTTCTGTTATTGGGCATTGCAGCAATCGTTAATTTTTTTCTGCTGGTTTTTGTGATTTCACGCTTTATCAGTCCACACATATTTCTTTGTTTATATAGTCTCTCTTGTTTAGTTCCCTTTTAATTGATTTTCGTTCTGTACTGGATATTGTTCCCTTATTCACAATACACTTTTCACCTGTTTTTTTCTTTTATCTACATTTAAGAAATCTTTTGTGCTATCTTTGAGGGTTGTAATGACCTCAGTCTCTCAGTAGTTCTCCCTTCATTGGTATTTACCGTCATTCTTGATGTTAATTATCACTGGTTTCAGTGGTTGGTTCTTTTTTTCTATGTTTGTTTTTTCTTTTTTACTTCAAAGACAGTAGATAATAGCATTTCCTGTAGTCGTCTTTCTTACATGGCTCGATAGCTTTTCTGGCTGTGCGCAGATAACATTTCCTTTCGTTGCATAGATAGTTAAGAAGGCCAAAGATTTGAATGGAACTGTCCTCAAAAAAGAAAACAGCTTGTGGTAAAAGTTTTAGTTAAGCTAATATTACGTAATTTAAGTAAAGTTGGAGAAGTTAGACGGAATTTTCGAATGAAGCTGTATCACTTTTTATTGAATGCAGTCTTTAGCAATGAAACCATAAGTCAGTGATTCAGACATTGGTACTTTCTAGTTAGGTGGTCTTCTGATAAAAAAAACAAGAGGTCTAAACATGAAATGCAAAGTTTTGCGCAGTACACTGAAGGGGGCGGTACATGAATTGCTGTGGGACGATGTTGGTGGTTTAGGGATTCAAATCTTGGCTTTATGAAAGGGTCACTCTTGGATGGAAGGAGGTTTTTAGTTTTTTTTGGTGGCAGATAATTGGACTGCACATCATTTGCAGGTTTTAGTTGGCGAACATTCCCATATTCTGTACACTTCCTAGTTTAAAGGGTATAAAAGTTTGTGGTATGATCTTTTTTGTAAAACTGTCTATAGTCTTATAATAAAAATTTCAACATATTTCCGTACTAGAAGCGATTTTATGAATTGGATTTTGTATTATAAGCGAGCTTTTTAAGTTTAGTTTTTTTATACATTGATATGAGCAGGTTTCTTGGTGAAGAAGATCTACACGATTTTTTTACAACCTTCTGACGCTTTGTTAATTTAGAGCTAACAGTTCATTGCCGGCCACTTCAAAGACGATTCGGTCTTGTTGTTTTTGAGTTGTTTTGATTTTTTTTTTTTTTTTTTTTTTTTTTTTTTT